TTATATGCGTCTTGTAAATTAAACCTCCACTTTAGTGTCAATTCCTTCACTTTCATTTTATCAAAAATGAACATAGCCTTAAAGAAAAAATGTTTAAAGAAAAAAAATTCTTTCAGCTTAACCGAATCTTTACTATTTAATTCCTTTTGTGATTATTCACACTCATGCACATGGATAATCACATGGAAAATTTGACAATATTACATGAATGATTCTGTCTTTTGAAAAAAAATAATGCTAAAATCATTGATGATTTTATGTTTAAAAATGAAGAAATCAAATCTTTTTCTTTTTAATAAAATAACCATAAGTTGTTGATTTGGGAAGAGAATTATTATTTGCACCTGGGTTACAGTCAGTGCTTCAATCCAAAGTCCTTTAAAGAGTTCAGGGTATTTAACGCACATCTGACTCCAGCAACTGGAATAAGTTAGTTTTTTACTTTCCTCAACACGCACAACTCAAAGGAGAGTAAGGCTTAAAATAGATTTAAACAAATTCTAAAATAATCTGATGCCTTTACAGACATTTAGTAAATATTTAGCTGATATTTAACATCCTGCTCCATAAACAGATTCATTCAAACAGTTTAAAGGTTTATGCAAATTCAGTGGTTCAAATCATTTTAAGGTAGAACTTGAAATAAATTGAGCTTTGCTTATGCAAGTGTCATTTTTACAATATTCCAAGCAGGGAATTGCCAGCATTAATGTTTTCTGTTGGCATTCAAAACTTCCAGAGTGACCATCATCCAAAGAACACAGGAGACCAGATTATCTGAAATTTTCCTAGCAAAGATGAGGATGTCTCATCAGACCTGTGTTAAGATGGGGACTATCAGATCTGGATGAAAAAGGAGAAAAAAAAACTGCTTTTACCCCAATTGTGTTAAAATGTGTTACTTTTGTTTCAAGGAACAAATCTGTGGAAAATAGATAGAAAATTATGAACATCATTTTGTATTTGTGAAAAACGTCAATTTGTTAGAACAATCTACTTTGTATTGAAGAATTGCGCCCCCCTCCAAAAAAAAACAAAACTATAAAAACAAGAATTTTATGTTCAATCTGGTAAGGTCACATTTATGGAGTACTTAATAATTATTGAATTTACAATTAATGATTTTTGGGACAAACCTGCTTACAACCATACAGCCTAGATGGACTGACATATATTTTGCTCTGTGAACTAGGCAACTAAAATGCCTTTTAAAAATGTACAGATGACATATTTTAACCTTGTTTTACTTAACACAAAAAATGAAACAAAAGCAAGTGGAAAAAATATTAACCATTTAGTTATAAAAATAGACCTTTTCTTTCTCCTTTTGTAATCTATCTCAAAGTCAGCCATTCTGCTTTTGTGGATTTACTGATACAAAATCAGCAGCAAACACATTTCTGTTTGAATTATTTTTTTGTCTATCTTATGTTTTTTTTCTTTACACAGTGCTTCAGCCAGTCTATTCTTTAGCCTTCTTCAGGGTATCTTTTCCTTTTTTTACCCAAACAGTTCGTTATGATTGGTAACCTTGTTTTGCTGACAAGCAGTCTCCCAATGGCACCTTTCAATACCTACTTTTTGATCCAGTTTCTTTATTTACTTAATGTTTTTTATGTATACACTGATTTTTATTTATTTATTAATGACTATTATTGTTCATTCATTATTATTTCTCAAGTATTGCCTGTCTGTCATATGGTGTTTTTTACATGACAGATTTGATAGTGCACACTTTAAAACAATAAGAAACATACCCAGTTGGTTCAGCAACCTCTATACCTTTGGATGCAAATCAGAGAGCTGAATTATACCATCTCATGTCTTTTATATTTGGTGTGTGGGTCACTTAATAATTCCTGAAAATATTGAAGGAATTTCTGGCTGATACTGTAACAAAACTTCCACTCTTATGATGACAGTAATTAGGTATTTACTCTGCCTCCCCACTAAGATGAATTGTGACACAGTAATTAACTTTCATATCAGATGGACATTCTGGTAAAAGGATGAATGAACCATAAGATTGACTATGTACATTTCTCTACAATTGCAAGAGACTGACATGTTTTGTTCATTATTAAGCGACTGATATTGACTTTTATAGAGTTTTGCAATCTTTGTTTAGTTTTGTGATTCACAAATTTTCTTGGGATGCAAATTTCACCTGAATAAGGCTGCAAAATGAACTGGTTGAAATGTTTAGATTAGGGAACTCAAAAAACAACAAATTAAAAGGGTCCCCCACCACACACACACATTGTCTCAAAGAAAAACAGACAATAGAAAAAAATGAAATTCTTATCTATCAAGTCTGACATTTCTTTATTTTCTTTCCTTTTTCTTTTTATTTTTTTTCCATTTCTTTTTATTTTCTTTCCTTTTTCTTTTTATTTTCTTTCCTTTTTCTTTTTATTTTCTTTCCTTTTTCTTTTTATTTTCTTTCCTTTTTCTTTTTATTTTCTTTCCTTTTTCTTTTTATTTTTTTTTCCACATTTAGCTTTAGGTTCAAATAGGTTTTTAAAATTCTTAATGGTTTTCATACTTGCAAAAATTCCATAATATGTATAAATACCCAAAAATGTCATCCTTAAACAATATGGGTTTATATTCTTTGATTGAACTTTTTGGAATTGAATGACAGAAAACAAATAATGCTGGACACTTGAATGAACAATTCTTGGTAAAAGTTTAATATAATTTAATTTGAACTTTTTTTTTTTTTTTTTTTTTTAATGAAATATCTACAATGAATAGAAAATTTTAAAATCTAAAAGAAATTGATTGTTGAGAAAAATGAAAAATAAAAGTTTTCATCAGGCTACATACTTTTCTGGAAGTTTAAAAAAAATTTTTTTCAATAATTGTGAAAAAAACAAACTTTTAAATTGGGGTTATATTGTAGCAACATAGATAATACTTTATAAGAAGAATTAAGGGAAGAAAAATTGAAATGAATAAATTAAGGACATTTAAATAAGAAATGAGAGTGTGACCCATATTGTATTTGATTTGTCATAAAATTCCATTTCCTGAACAAGAAATATTATTATAATTATTTGCATGCACACTATTGTTCTCATCTTTATCATGTTTCAGCCATTGTGCTCTGTGACCTTCATCAGGTATACGTTGATCTGGGTAACTTACAAGGAATTTTGAACTGCTCTTTAAACTCTGGTAAGGTAGATTGTTCTCATTCCACTACCCATGTTTAGGGATATCTTGTCTAGTTCTTATCACCGAGTCCAAGTACACACTGCCTGGCTTAGGGGTTGAACTTGCAATCACTATCATCAAATTTGAATTGAGCATGTAGACAAATTTGACAGTAATTGTGAGTTCAATCAGTGGCCTGGGCAGAGTGTACTTGAACTTTGTAGAAACAGAGCAGTACTAAATAACAGGGCAGTAAATATGAGTAGTTCTAAATAAAAACTAGACAAGATATCCCTAGAACAATCTACCCCCTGTAGATTAAATAAAGGGTTCAGTTTGAAATTCCCTGATGGTTACCTGAATTAGTATTCACCTGATGAAGGCTGGAGTGCACAATGGCTGAAACTTTATTGATAACAAAGCTGAGGGTGTTTGCATGTAAATATTACTATGTTGGAAATTCTATTTGGAGAAGAAAAATATCTTGAAGAGAAACTAGATATCATGAAGGCCTGTTAAATCTACATATGCAAGTTCCATTTGGTAAGGTTAATTGTTACAAAAATTAACAAGAAAACTTTTGCAAATTCTGAAAATATCCACAATATAAACAAAATGCCACCTTTCGATAAATTTTATTTTTAATTAAAACAAATCTTTTGCCTTTTTATATGTGGAATGAATTCATAAGGAAAAAAAAATTGCTTGTGAAAAGGGTTTACAGAACTGTCTCACTCAAGTTAAATAATGGAGAAATCAAGAAGAAAATCTAAACATAAGTTCAAATATTGGCCACTGACAAATTTTCTTTTTTTTTATCCCCCCACCTTAAAAAATAGTTTTGAAATAACAATACTTTCAGGATTTTCAAATTCAAATTTGAAATATGAGGCAAAGCAAAAAAAAAAAAATGAAAATATTTTGCATCTTTTGTTGGGGGGAGTGGGTGTGAAGAATAACAAGCAAACCTCATTTGTGATTTTGGTTTAAAGGTTAGAGCATCAGACTATTGGCTGGGAGATCTGAGGTTCCAATTCAAGTACAAGGCTGGTGATATCCATTACCATAAACTCACCAAATGTCTCATCTTGTTTTTGCAAAATCCATAGCAACCTTTAAAGCCACTTCTGCAAATGTTTCTTTGTTTGACCCTGAAGTCTTTAGTGGGGAAAGAAATATGGAAGGAAACATTTCTCTAAAAAATGTGTCCTTCTGAAACCATTTTAGTTATCCTGTTTACTGCCATGTGACGATATGATGCACATGTGTCCTTAAATTGAAACTAATACAAAGGATGCACATTGGTGTTATTCTTTATAGTTTAATAAATTTAATTTTATTTACCAAAATATAGCAATTTTAATGATAATTCCATGAAAAACATACATGGCATTATGTTAGTTTCAATTACTTAAGGTAGCAGTTAAATTGAATTTTATTTACCAAAATCATGCATCACTAATCTTGTATAACAATTTCTAATGGAAACTACGAACTGTGATTGCATTATGTAAGGGTTCAAATATCTAAGGTAACAGTGAACTTATTAAAAAGAACGCTTTTTTTTTTGTTATTTGAAAATCTGGATAAGATTGTTGATTTAAATGATTAACAAAAAAAAAAAATGTGAACAATCCACTTCCTGTCAAAAACCCCCCCAAAAAATATAACTGGCCTCATATATCTTTTGTGGTTCTTTTTTACACAAGTATATCTGTAGAGACAAAAAAAATAGAAGAAAAAACATTATTAGCATGTGTTGTATATGTTTTGTCTTCTCTTGTAGAAAAAATTAAAAAAAAATAAAAATGGATGGGTTTGTCAAATTTAAAAACAAATAAACCCTACAAAACAAAACAAAAGTAAAAGAAAAATTATTCATAAAGCTTTTTACAAAGTTAAAAAAAAATAAAGATTGGGAGATTTAGTCCAGTTGAGGGATAGGGGTGGGGAGTTTGATTTACCAATTCTGTTTTGTTGGTAAATATTGTTAGCTTTGATTCAAGTCTGCTATTATGTAGATCTTGGTAAGACTTAACCCAATCAAATGCTTACTATGGTTAATATATTCATGTGCTTGTTGCAGGGGGGAAAACACCCGTGATGTCTGAAGTACAAATTATCCATTCCTATCGTTAATACTATCACTATTCAGAATTTTAAATTTTCTTGTCACAGTATTTTTTAAATATCGAAAATGAAAAGAAAGAAAATCTTATACTCAGCACAGTAACTTTTTCAGGGTCATATTTGCATCTTTTCCTGTCTCTCTCAATTTGTATAATGCCATGTTGATGAGGTTCATTACAATAAGGGTTACTTAGCAGGTGAAAGTTTCTTTTGGAGTTTGCCTGGTTCTTATGAGATTTAGAATATCCATTTTAGAGAAATTTTATTTCTTAATTGATAAACCCTTGCTGAATAATTCGTATTTATATAACTAAAAAAAAAAAGAAGAAAATAATTGGATTTCAAATATTCTGTTGGATTCTTGAATAAAAGGCATTTTTCAGAGCAGTTAAGGTGGAATAGTTTATAGCAGTAGTACATACCAGGTGTAACAGCAAAATTGTCCAATTGTTAGATTAAACTTTGAACTGTTGTATCTTAGAAATGATAATTAGAATTTTAATGACCCAAATAAAATGTAAGTTAATTTAAACATTTTCTTTGTTCTACAACAAAAATATTAAACACTGTTCATTTATTACATTGTTTACAAAAATAATTTTATATTTACATTCTAAAAACATGAATCAAATAATACACTGCAATGTTTATCATTTATCAATTTATAAAGAAATTTTTGTTTCATAATTCATTGATATTTTTATAAAATTATGAATAAAAAAGAAAAACTTTTCATAGTTATAAAATGGTAGCTTGCATTGTAGGTGGTTTACATAAAAAGATTTTGTAATTTACTTTATTTCTTTATAAAATGGTAAATAATAAATCTTTATAAAAAGTAAGTAATATCACATTGTACTTGGTTCACATATTTTCATAATCTTGTAAATAAACATTGCTATGGGAGTGAAAGTAATACAAAATAATAGCAGTACTAAGGGAAAAACTATCCTTTTGATAAATCATTTTTTGTAGGCACAAAGGTCAAATATTGTCATTGCTTTTTATTCAAACATTCTGGGTCATTACACAATTATTACTAATCATTAGTTTTACTATAAATTGTTGCTTTATATTCCAACACTGGTAAGATAGCAAACTATGAAATTGGGTTCAGTAACACATGTAATGGTGAATATGATACTTTTGACAAAGTCAGTTTTAACTTAATATTATTTTCACTTTTAAGTCCTACAGTCAGCTTGGATTGTTATCAATCTTCTTGTGTCTGTTTAGAAGTCCTTATTAGTATTCACTACATTAGTCTGGAAAAATGCTAAGTGTTGGGAACCTTTTTGAGAATTGAACTCCCACCATTTCTAAAGGTTGCTTAGCTAATGTAAGGCATCCAGTAAAGATTAAATTCATCATAGTAGTAAGTTTATTACTATTTATTCAAAATGTTTATCTCTTGTCTTGTTATTTTGAATATTCTTGGGCAATATCTTTTGGTTTTCAAATTGAAAACATGAAACTTATCAAAATTAATCTTTTCATAATTTTAAATTTTGTTAGTTAACTAGTCAAATGGCATGTCTAAATTTAAGATTCCAAAATATTAAACACTTTTCTAAAAGAAATATTTTTCTTGTACATAAGTGAAAACAATTCTTAAAAATTATTTCCCTTTATGCTGTTCCATGAAGAACAGGGACTAGTAATTGTATCCAAATTAATATCTTTTATGGGAGGCACATTCATTTTTACTCATTAAAATACTGTCCTTTTTAAAATAAAATTCTTGTAACAGCAGACCTTTTTAATCAAGTTGTTGAACTAGTTCAGTTTTTTTTTTTTTTTTTTTCAAAGTTTACAATATCCATAATATAAATTTCAAAGTCATGAACCAAATATGATTATGTAACATAATCATATTTGGTTCATGATTTTGTCTGTTGGAAATAAATCTTGAAGAAATTATACAAACTGAAGTTAAAGAAAAATGATTGAATGAAATATTGATGATTAGGAAAAGATGCAAACTGTTTGTCAAAACAAAATACTGTATTAGAAATTTAAATAAAACAGACAAAATATTGCTCTTACTTTTTTTTTTCTTTACACACACACATAAACCTTTTTCAATTCATTGTCTTTTGTTAGGTTAAAAAAATATTTGTCTGTAACACACGGTTACCTCCCCTGACTCTATAACTGCTGCACTGAGCGGGAAAATAAGGAAAATGTTTAAGAGAAAGAAATAAATTGATT